GGGCTCGGCACCGCCCGGGCGGGCGAGAGGGGCCTGAGGGCACCGGGGGCTGCAACAACGGGGGTGTGGGGCAGCCCGGGCACCCCGGCTGTCCGGTGCTCCGGACACCCCAACCGGATGAAATCTGGGTGCCTGGGACAGCCGCCGATGCTTGGGTGCATGGCACCCCAAAAGTGCAGAAATCTGGGTGCTGGGGACAGCCTGGCTGCTGAGTGTGTGACACGCCAACAAGCTGAAATTGGGGTGCGTGGGGTGCCTTAGGATCTGGAATGGGCTGTGTGGGTCCCTGCAGACACCTCACGTTCTGGGTGCACCCCGAAATCTTGGGGTGCACAGCTGCACTCTGCTGCTGTGCAGGGCACCTCGCTTAGGGACAAGACTCCCCCTCTCCTGTGAGCTGTTCGTGGCAGGGAAGCAGTGTTGGAAAGCTGGAGGTTCAGGAGCTTGTTTTGAGGTGCAGGTGACCTAAATGATCCCCTGAGGTCTCCTCCAACCTTGGGGTGCAAACTCTTGAGGGGCATGAGAGCTTGGCTGGCCACTCACCCTCGAATTGGGCATCTCGGGCTCTCACTCCAAAGCTGTGGCTGGTGTGGCTGCAGATGAAGCAGAGCCCACCTGGGGAAGCTGCCCAGCTCTCCGAGGAGGTGCCCCTGGGCCCTGCGTGTCTGCAGACACATGGAATGCAGACAGTGCCCAGCTCTTGTGTCACAGCTGCTGCAGCTCAGCCCTGGCAGAAACATTGCTGTGCCCTCGTGCTGCTCCTTGCTGGGTGCTGCACATCTCTGTGACCCGCCCGGGGAGGAAGTTCTGCAGGAGGGAGCTAATCCTCCTCAATCTGTTTTACCCACAGACAATGGTGAAGCCACTGTCCTGCAGGCAGGAAGGCACGAGTTCCCCTTCACCTTCCAGCTCCCCGAGTAAGTTGGTGTTTTTGTGGGGGAGAGGACATCTTGAAAATGAGGGTTTTTGTGAGCAAAACTCTTCTAAAATTGTTTATTGCTCTTGCCCAGGACCCTGGCCACCTCCTTTGAGGGGAAGCATGGTAGTGTGCGCTACTGGGTGAAGGCCAAGCTGCACAGACCCTGGTCAACAGTGAAGAAGGCAAAGAAGGAGTTCACTGTGATTGAACCCATCGACATAAACACCCCTGCACTGCTGGTGAGCTCCCCCTGCTCCACCCTGGGGCTCTGGCATCCAAAACTCAGCCAGGAAGGTGTCTGCCTGCCCTTCAGCCTTACAGTGCAGGCCTGCTTTCCAGAGGGAATATTTTCCCCCCTGTAACTTGTGCCCTCCAGCATTACCTGGGCTGGGCAGAGGTCAGCTGTGCCTCTTTGTTTTTGGAAACTTTAAGGCATTGCAACAGCTTCTTGCATCAGATACCTGAGAAATTGCTGATGCTCCCCGGCAGGTTCTTGGTGCCAGGGAGGTGATTGCTTTGAGTTTCATCCTTAGTTACTAAATAGCCTAAATATTTCCCTTTTTCCAGGCTCCCCAGGCAGGTGCTAAGGAGAAACTTGCACGTGCCTGGTACTGCAACCGTGGCCAAGTGTCTGTGACTGCCAAGATTGACCGAAAAGGCTACACCCCAGGTGAGACCAGGTGCCCTTGAACCTCAGTGGGCCCTGGGGCAGACCCCAGAGGAGGGGGTTTGGGTCACCGTGAGCTGGCAGGAAATCAGAGAACTTTAGATGTGGGCAGTGTCCTTGGGATGTTCCTCCTGGATGAACCCGCTTGCCTGCCCTGTCAGACAGCGTGGCCAGCCCTCGGTGGGCCTGTGCAGCAACTCCTCGAGGCAGTTCTGGGTTCTGCCTCCCCTGCTCCAGCATGTGTGTGTCTGTTTTGGCAGGTGAGGTCATCCCCATCTTTGCTGAGATCGACAACTGCACGAGCCGTGCCGTGGTGCCCAAGGCAGCCATAATCCAGACCCAGACTTTCATTGCCCGGGGCACCAAGAAGCAGAAGAAGTCGGTGGTGACCAGCATCACCGGGGACCCCATCCCGGCCGGGAAGCGCGAGGTGTGGCACGGCCGGGCGCTGAAGATCCCGCCCGTGGGGCCGTCCATCCTGCAGTGCCGCATCATCCAGGTGGAATACTCCCTGAAGGTGAGGGAGCTCTGCAGGAGCTCAGGGGACATCCCTGCCCCTCCAGACTGGGAAAACACCACCAGCTAAGCTTCCCTGCTGCTCTCTGTCTCGGCAGGTTTGCGTGGATATTCCTGGGACGTCCAAGCTGCTCCTTGAATTGCCTCTTGTCATCGGGACCATCCCGCTGCATCCCTTCGGGAGCCGCACCTCCAGTGTCAGCAGCCAGTACAGCGTCAACCTGGACTGGCTCAGCACCATCCCGGAGCAGCTGGAGGGTGAGCTTCTCCTTCTCCCTGGGATAAACCCCCTGGTCAGCAGAGTGAGATGCAAAGTTCTCAACTGGGCCAGTTTTACTTTTTTTTAACCCAATTTTTTGGTTTTGGTGCTGAATCTCTTGGGTTCCTTCCTCAGGGAACTGGGAGGGTTTGGGAAATAGTGGGTTTGAAGCATTTTTACCTGCACGTCCCCCATTTATGGAGAGTGTTTACTATTCCCTGATGGTTCTCCTTTCTCTCCAGCCCCCCCTGAGTACTCAGCAGTCGTGTCCAGCCCAGAGGCTGAGCAGGGCCTGGCTCCTCCGTGCCGCAGCGAACTCGGGGACATCCTGGAGGGTCCCTTCTTCGCCTACATCCAGGAATTCCGCTTCCGACCACCTCCACTGTATTCAGAGGTGATTAATCCCTCTGGGCTGGGAGGTTGGTGGAGGCTGGGATGTGCCACTGCTGAGGTTTTTGACTCTGGGCTTGGCTCTGCAGGTGGATCCAAACCCCGCATCGGAGAGCATCCGCCCGCGCTGCATGACCTGCTGAGAGAAGCGCATCGGCTGCGTGTGACAGCGTGACGATCCCTGGGGATGGCAGCTTGCACCCTCACAGCACTTGGGTCTGGAAATGGGGACATGAGACCCCAACTCCACTCACCACCCTCACCACTCCTGTTGTGACTGTCCCTCGGGTGCCGTGGCAGGGTTGGAGAACACGAGGGGCTGGCGGTGTGGAGCGGCTCCGTGTGTGGCTGGGCAGGACACGTGGGGTTCAGAACTGCCCTGGGATTTTGGGGTTGGAACAGGGAATACGAGCTGAGATTGCTCTCTCCTTGCCTGCAGTGCCGTACTCCAAAAACTTCTGTCAGCTCCTGGCTTGGAAAACAGGAGCTTGAAGGCATTTCTCAGGATTACTGGAGAATGTTTGGATGGTGCTCAGGGTTGGGCCCTGGGGCATGCAGGTGCAGCCCTTTGCCTGTGGCTCACCAGGACTGCAGGTCCCCAAGGCAGTGAAAGGTCCTTTTCTGGCTGGATGAAGCAGAGGGCTCAGCCACTGCTGATAATCTTTGCCACAAGCCTGTGGGTACCTGTGGGGGGAATGGTTTGAGCCACTTAACCAAACTCTAAAGGCCTCCAAGGGCTGATACAAGGATTTGAGGGATGAATTTATGATCTGTGGCAGTGTTTTGGTGCCATTTACTGAGAACAGGAAAGCTGGTTCATGAGTGTCAGCACCAAACCTGCACAGTGTGCTGGTGCCTCCCTCCAAGATGGGGCTGAAACCAGCCCCCAAACTGTGGTACCAGCACGGGGGGTTGGAGCTGTGGCTGGTGGCCAAGGAGAGAGGGAAACCCAGTCTAAGGCTGATGGCAGCTACATGGGAGATGAGGAGTTGGGATGAATCTGTCAGGGCTGGGAGTCCTTGATGCTGTACCCCTAGAGGAGTCAGGGCCCTGGTGGGGTGAGGACCCAGCAGCAACCTGTGCTCATTGGGGTGGGAAGTGGTATGGGAAGGGCGAGCTGGATGTTGTAGTGAGGAGCCAGGGGCTGACCCCGCTCGCTGCAGGGGGACCTGAGCAGAGTTTGGGGGCCGAGGACCTTTGCATTCCCTCACTGAGACAATCCCTGGCCGTGTACAGCCAAAGCCAGCGTGCCTTGGGCTCTGTGCTGGGGTTGCTCAGATGAGTCTTTTCTATCTGTGAACACTTTTGTAATGACCACTCTTTGTCTCTACTCTTTTTGTATGACTTTTTGGTGGAGAATATTTTGTCTGAAATAAATTCTTTAAACCAAGCTGTTGCCTGGATGGTTTTCCTCTTTCTGCTTCCCGTTGTCTGGAGCCATGCTGAGGCTGTTGGGATGTGGGAGTGCTCCCTGCCCTCTCTTCACCGCCCTGCAGGCACCCAGCTGCACCCTGCCCCCAGTCCTGCACTGGGATTAACTGGGTCACTCGGCCAGCACAGCTCCCCAGCAGCTTTGGTCCCTTGAGCCTCCAGCTCCTCCACATCTGTGCACTTCTGGCACTTTTCCCCTTACCTGGGATGCAGGGCTGCCAGCAAACCTGTTGTATTTTTCCACACTTGCTTCCTGTTTGTGTCCAGGCTCCCAGAGGACAGACACAGTCTCCTCCATCCTGAAAGCCTGGCAGGGACCCAGCTGGGAGCTGGGACACTCCTGTGTTGGCTCAGCCAGTCCCAAGGAGGGTTGGGATCAGCCCTGTGCTGGCTGGGAGCTGCTGCCCTGTGGGAAGAGCAGGGAGGCTCCTTCACCTGCTTCCTTGGGCTGGAATTTGGTTTTTCACAGCATTTCTGTGCTCCGTGTCTCCCCTGGGCATGGCAAGTCTTGGTGCATCCAAGGCAGGTTTTGAATCAGGCCTTTAATTTTCTCTTCCACAGACTGTGCTGCTTAAAAATACTGACACTGGAATGTGATTTTTTTTCCCCCCACTTTATTTTTTTGTTTGCTGAGCTGCTCAGCCCCGCAGCTGCATCAGAGCACGTGCTCCTGCCCTGAGCCAAAGGAGAGAACTTGTCCCCGTGTTTGCCTGTGAGAACCTGGTGCTCCTGCAACCTTTATTCAAATCTGTTTTTTATTTGGCATCCCTGGCGCTCTGATTAATTTTTCCCGGGGGAGGATTAACCGGCCTCGCAGGGAATTTGTTTGTATCCCAATTTGGGGGGATCGTGTCTGGATCTGCCGCTGGCAGCAGCAGCGGTGGCCGGTGCTGCGTGGCCTCGGGGGTTTTTTGGTGACATCAAAGGGGACACGAAGCACAGCGCTGCAGCCCCAGGTGAGGATGGCCCCGAAGGCAGCCCTGTGACCAGGCTGATCCCAGCCAGCCCCAGCCTGGCACAAGGGAGCCATTCTGAGCTGGCAAACGCCGAGCAGCGGGGCTGCCCGGGGGGTGATGGTCAGCCCCGGATCATCTGCCCCGGCTGCACAAGGGGATGTTTATTCCCCGGGCCGGAGGGGGAGGCGAGCACCCAGCACCCCGTGTCTGTCCTGCTGCGTCTTCCTGGGAAACGGCGTCACACGGTGACGGGGACAGGCCATGCCGGGCAACCCAACACCGGCGGGCAGCGCTCCCGGTGCCCGTGTGGAGCGATCTCTCCAGCAGGAATTCTTGTCTCCAGCGCCTCCAGGTTTTTCTCTCCAGGTTTTTCTCGTACAGTCGGGCAGTAGCACAGTGAGACTGGGGGGGGTACGGCCAAGCTGGGGCTCCTGCCAGGAAAGGGCTGCACTCCTGAATCCTGAACCCCGGAGGGGCTAAAAATATCTCGTCTGGACATTTGGAGCCAGGGCACGGAGCAGACCCTTCCAGGCAGCGCTTTCACAACTGCTGGCAGTGCTGCCGGTGCTCCCTCCAACCTTCTGTTGTTTATCTGCCCCGGCTCCAAAGTCCTGATTGAACAGCCCGGGCTGTTCCAGGTTTATTGGCACGGGAGATTTGGGGCTCCCTGGGGGTCCGCTGAGCTGGAACGACCCCGTGCCCTGCACGGCGATGCTGCGGCAGCAGCGAGACCCGACCCCGGGCAGGAGGCGCGTGATGCAATTACAGTGCCGGGATTATTTATAGCCCTTGGCCCCGTGCGCTGGAAAATGCTGCCCAGACCAGCCGCCAGAATCTGCTCCTTGCGGGGGGCACGGAAACTCGCCCCCATCCCCTGCTCTGCTCCTCTAGCCTGTCATTTTTGCCTTTCAATCCCAAAATTGTTGGAGCCCTTTGCCTCGGCCGCAGGGCTGCTGGGAGCCCACTCCCCTCTGCGGCTCTGCTGGGACACTCAGTGCAGCCCCTCTCTGCAGCATTTTGGGGGGCTCCCCTTTCCCCCGGAGGATGCTCGGTGCCATCCCTGACGCTGCTGTCCGGAGGCCCGAGGGGTCAGTGGCGGGGCCCAGCTCGGCCGTGCCGCGGGGACGGTGACACGCCAAGCTTGTGGCTTGGGACAGAATGTGCCGGGGCTGGCGCAGCCCTGCGAGCGCCGGGATTAACTGAGCCGCTGCTGCCTCCGGCCCGGGCGCCCGTCCAGCTCCCAAAACAAGCACCGCCTTCCCCAGCCCAGCTGGCCTGAGCCCTGCGGGGTGCAGCTCACCCCAGAACCTGCCAGAACCGAGGGGCACCCACCGGGGGCTGATCTGTGTGCACGGGGCTCGGGCAGTGATGAGAAATCTGATTTTGGCCGAAGCGGAGCGCCCCGCGCTGGGCTCGGGGTTCGGGCACTGCCCAAATTCAGCATCTTTGCTCCGGTGGGACCCCGGGCTCGCAGCCCTCGCACCTGCGGAGCAGCAGTGTCTGGAGCAGCGGGACCCAGCCCAGCCACAGGGTCCCCGGGCACCGCGGGGCAAAGTCCCCAGCAGCACCAGGCCTTGCTTCGGGTTTGCTCCAGCGTCCGGCGCTGCGGAAGAACCAGGGCTCGGCCCTGGCAGCATTTTTGGGCTCTGGGACTCTGAGGCTCCCCTTCATGCGGCAGAGCTGTGCCAGGGCTCCGGGAAGCAGCCGTGCACCCCGACATGCCGGGGCGGCATCGCGGCCGCCCTCCGCCCGCTGACTCAGCCGCCTTTGCCGGAGCTGCTGCCGCCCACGGAAACCGCAGGCAAAGTCCCCGCATCCCTGAGCCGGGGCTTTTCCCTCCGGCTCGACAGGAATCGCAGCTTTTCCCCAGCCTGGTGCGGGCAGCGAGCCCCTCCGGCTGCGGGGGAAAACTGCGGAGAAACCGCAGAATTTTTTTATTCCAAACTGGTTTTTTTGTTTTGTTTTGTTTTTTTTTATGCCAAAAAGCGGGGTCTGGAGCAGCCTGGTGGCTGCACGTGCCACACGTCCCGTCCCCTGTGAGCATCGTGCCAGCAGCAGGGTGACATCACCGGGACACCCCACAAACCTCCACGGTGGCCGGTGCTGCCCGTGTTGTGTTTGCAGCAAATCGCCACCTTTATTCACTGTATCAAAACCAACCCCTTGTTTTTTTTGGGGTCTGACCCGCCTCATTTGGGGTCCCTCACTGTTGGCACTGCCCGGCCCCTTGCGCAGTAACTCCTCTCTCCTTCCCTTCCTCGGGCAATGGAAAATTTTTGTGACTTTTTGACTTTCCTCCCGTTGTTTGGGAGCGAGGAAGGGGCCGGTGCCGCGCACAAACATGTCTATGTATAAACACCGGGGACCGTGCCAGGGATGGAGCCGCCGGCACCGGACCCTCCCCACGGAGCCGGGTGTCCCCTGTCCTGCCGGGACCCCAGAGCGGCGCTCGGTGACCCAGAGCCGTCCCCGTGGGGGCGCAAATATTTTGGCTTTGTTAAAAAACAACAACAACTCTTAAAAGAAAAATCCCCGCCACGTCCCGGGTCATCCAGCGGCTGCACGTGATGTGTTGGCACACAAACAGGGAGCTTGGGGACGGGGCACGGCTCCCCCGCCGGGGTCAGCGGGTGACACGGCCGTGCCCTGGGCCAGGGATGTGGAGCGATGGGATTTTGCTCCCCACCCCGGCTGGCTTCGCTGTCAGTCCCAGGAGCCGCTTCACAAATGGTAGAGAAGTTCCCGTCCAGCCCCGGGTGGGTGCGCGGTCCCCAGGGGGATGTGGCACGGTGACATCCCCCGCCCTGACCCCCGCAGGTGAAACCTGGCTCGTGTGGCACCAGGGAGGAGCGAGGGACACCGCAGTCACTGCTGAGCTGCTCTGGGGGTCAGTGGGGACACAGCTGGCCCCAGCTGAGAGGCGACGAGTGCGGGGCTGTCACCTCCCTGCTCCTCAGGGGTGATGGGGCAGCCTCGTCAAACCCCACGGCTCTGATCCCTCCTCCCACGCCCCAACCTCAAAGTCTTCAGAAACCGGGTTGTGCTCCTTTTTTTTTCTTCCCTATCACCCCGCAAGAAGCAACAAATTAGAGCTGATTTCAACAAAAAAAACCCTTCAGCTCGGTTTGGGGGGAGAAGGCTCCAAGCCAGCTCGCAGGGATGCCCACACATCACCAGCAGCCTGCAGCGAGCCCCCTCCCCATCTCCCAACCTCATCAGCAAGCCTGAAGGAGGTTATCTTTAAACGCGAGGGGTTATGCGGAGCAGGGAGAGGGATTTTCCTGCTGAGCAGCTGTGTAAATGCCACCGCATCCCGGGCCAGCGATGGAGGCAGCGATAGCCCGAGGGTCCCGGCTGCTTGGGCCGGGCAGTGCCGGTGGGGAGGGCGGTCCCGGAGGGGCTCCAGCCGGTTCCCTCCGCTTTCCCGGCGGTTTTGGCGTGTGAAAAAAATGAGGGAGAGTCAATCTGCCTGCAGAGAGCCGGTAAACACCCTGGGAGGGGATCTGCGAGAAGGGGGGTTGCTCTTGGTCCTGTGTTTATCGCTGCAAAGCTGGGCTGGCAGCTTGCTGGGATGAGACAGATGGGGGAGGCTGCTGTAAAAAGGCGATTTTTTGGGGGCTTTCTGGTTATCGAGTTGTCCTTAGCTCAACTCTGGCCGTCTGCTTGAGCAAAATATGTTTATGCTGCAAAACCTCTGGCCGGCTCCGCTGCCAAGGGGGCAGGGAACGCGAGTGGCGATAAGGGCGCAGCGTCCTCCCCCTTCGGATCACCCGATACCCAGGGGAGCGACCGCCCGACACCCCGAGATTATGATTTCTTTTACTATTATTATAAAGTTTCCGTTGAAATAAAAAACAAAACGAAAAAAACCCCACCAAAACCCAAAAAAAACCCAAAACAAAACAAACCCATAATTCAATGGCTGTTGCTTTGGAGCTGCCAAAGCCTGGAAAGCTTCGGCCGTGCCAGGGGCTGAGCTGCCCCTGGGGCTGCGAGCAGCCATCCGAGAATATTCAAACTGCAGGGAGGAAAATGCCTCCTGCCATGGAAGGAGATGGTTTTTCAACCATTTCTCCCGGCTGGCGAGCTGGGGCTCGCAGCATCCCGGCGGGGATTTCAGCGATCTGAGCATCCAGTGCCGCCCCGAGGGCAGCTCCGAGCCCCTCTCGGTGGTGGGAAAAGATGAAATATTCACTTTCGCTGCTGCTTCAAGCCGTTTTCCATGGCTGGGTTTGGAAACAGCCGTGGCCCGGGTGAGGCTGCTGCAGCTGACGTGAGCAGGAAAGAGCCGGGGCGGCCCCGGGGCCTGTTTGCGAAGTAGAACCGAGTTGTTGTTGTTGTTGTGACACCGAATGGTTGCAAAACGCCAGCTCTGAAATACCCGTGACTTTCAAAACAAGCTGGGCCCAGCTGCGGCCGGCGGCTCTCTGTCCACATGTGTCCGTCTGTCCAGCTGTGGGCCCTGCAGCCCCTTCCCTGCTGGGATGCCTGTGCCAGAAATGCTTGGGGATTTTTTTTTTGGGGGTGGGGAGAAGAATCCCAGAAGCTTTTTTTAGGGAGGAAAAGCCTCAGCTCCCCAGCTTCAGAGGTTTCCTACCTCAGGGAACTGTCGGGTATCCTGCCCAGGGGGGCTTTGCAGTGCTTGGGGGGTGGTTGAGATGAGCTGCCTGCAGCTCTTGAATTCTGCTTAAAATATAATAATAAAGATCCCAGGGATCAGTTTGTTTGCTTAGGGATTAAGTCACCTAATCTGCCTGGCAGCGGGTGGCATTGTGGAGGTGGTGGCAGCGATGGCTTTTTGCCCGGCAAATAATCCCGCTCCCGGCCACGGCTGGTGGTCAGGCTGGGCTCAAACTCCTCACTGGCATCAGCTCTTCTCCAGGATGGGGTTTAGGGAGCAGGAAATGGTGCTGGGTGCAGGGAAAGAGCTGGCAGAGAGATGTATGGACGAGGGAAGGGGCTGGGAAAGGGATGAATGAGGGAGGGGGTTGCAGAGTTGTGACCTTCTCCTCTGCCCGTGTTAATGCCAGGGTGTGGCTCTGCAGGGCTGTTTCCCCGAGGCTGGAAAATAGGTTAGACTTCTCAAGCTGGGAGCAAAACATCTTAATGTGGTGGTAAAATCTCATTCTGGGCCTGCAGGGCCCTCTCCTACTTCAAGGGCTCAGACCCCCCAAGACCTGATGTTTATGGGGCTGTAGCAAACCCCTCTGGCTATTTTATGTTCTATCTCTGAAATCACATCCCTCAAAATCAAGAGGAAATGGCTTCAAGTCGCACCAGGGAAGGTTTAGGTTGGATATTAGAAAAAATTTCTTCATGGGAATGGTTGTCAAGCACTGGCACTGACTGGAGTCACCAGGCCTGGGGGGATTTAAAAGCTGTGTGGCTGTGGCACTTGGGGACATGGGTTAGTGCTGGTGCTGGATTAGTAGCTGGACTCGATGATCTTAGAGGGCTTTTCCAACTTTTATGATCCTGTGATTCTATAAATTCAGGGAGCCAAGAGCAAATCCCCAGGCTGCCACCATCTCCCTGCAGCTCCTTCAGGCTGCCCCACCTGCTGCCTTGGGGTGCAGTGCTGAATTTTCCACTCCACAAGAGCAGCTGGAGCCAGGTCAATCCATGCGCACATGTCCCCAGAGCCATTTGCTTTTGGGAGCACAGCACAGGGACCCTGTGAGAATAGGGACAAGAGAGGGTTTTCCCTTTAGGGCAGGGATGCCTCACTCTCGTGCCAGCAAATGACATTGTCACCAGAGGTGTGGGGGCAGTGCTGGCACCACTGGGTGTGAAAAGGGGACCCCATGGAGTGATTTTGGGGTTGATGCATCTTAATGGCACTGGGCTGACCTTTGTCTCCCCTGCAGGGATGGATTTTGGCTGCTTATCCCAGAGCTGTCCTGGAAGGATGCCCTGCTGGGTGTAACGAGTTGTCCTCGTGCTGTGGGTGGCAGTGGCTCTTGCCAGGCCTTGCCCGTGCCCTGTGCCACGTCTGGGTGCTGTGCTGGGGTAGAGGAACAGCAAGGTCACATCCTGGCTGCAAGAGCTGGCCTGGCAGCTCTCCTTGGGTCACCAAGCTCAGCGTGGCGCCTGGGGACTCATTTGGAAACCAGTCCTGTGAAATTTAAACTAATTAGCAAGTCCTGAGCCGCTCTCTAGCGTTAATTGGCAAGCCTGGCTTGATTAGTTTTCCTGGGCACATGCATGGCACCGCGTTCCTGGCAGAGCACTGGGACACTTCTGGGGGAAAATGCACGGGGCCACTGCTGGGGACAGAGCCATTGGTGGGGACAGGCCCTGGAGCCATCAGAGGGGCTGTGAGCGGCACCAGGGATGGGATGGATCCCTGGGGAGTGACCCCATGGGGGCACTGAGGGGGGTCTCGTGTCCCCTCCCTGCCCAGGGTGTTTTTAATGCAGCAGCAGGGCCTGGCTGTCCTGCTGTGAACTCGTTCCAAGAGCTGGAATGATTAACTGGCATCAGCGCTGGCCCTGAGCCGGGCCATGTGTTTACTGCTGCCACCCAACCGTGCTGAGCTTTCAGTGACCCTCGCTGTTTTCCCTCAGCGTTCTGGTCCCCAAACCCGGCTGTAAACAGGGGCCGGGGCTGGAACCCGAGTGTGCCTCCTCGCCAGTAACCAGATACTTCCTCCACATGTGCCTGGAGTGCTCTGGAGTGAGCCTGGCGTCTCCCAAATCCCAACAAAATCCCTAAATCTGATGTCTGCGCTGGGCTTCTGCGCGGCAGGATGCCAGACCTTCCCCCTGCAGCCCATCCCCAGGGATCTGGGGGGCTGGAGGCGCAAAGTTGCCGGGCACAGGGGTCTGACACAGACTCCTGACACTCGCGGGCAGGGAACGATGGATTTGCTCTGCCAAGAAGTTTGGAATCGCCGTGGGGACGTGGGGCTGGTGCCACCTCGTGGTTCCAGCAGCAGCTGAGCCGGGCTGGACGCGCGGTGCCGGACAGCGGTGGCACTGCTGGCACGGAGCTGGGGGTCCCGCATGTGCCCATCCGGATGAGACCCCCGGCCATGGGAGCGACAGCACCGCAGCAGCCTCATGCCTGGAGCGCTGGGAATGGCCAGAAATGCATCCCCAGCCGTGCCTGGCCGAGGTCTGTCCGAAGGAGCCGCCCCGGTTCTGTCTCCGCTCGGCACCGCCGCGGTTGCACCGAGCGCGATCTGAGCGAAATCCTTTGCGAAACGCGAGTGGAACCACGAGCAGCAGCGAGACAGAACGTCAGTGGCAGAGACACCGCGGCTGCATTTCCCCGTGGTACTAAACCCACGTAGCTTTTTGGTTTTTTAAGATTTTTTTTTTTTTTTTTGCCATCTCAGCAAGTAAACACCGCCGCGCCAGGCAGAGAAAACCACAGATCGCTTTTCATCTCCAGTCCTGTCCCAGATAAGGCCCGAGGAGGCGGCGTGGCCCCACTGGAGGGGGCTGGGGGGGCCCCCATGGACCCCCATCCCGGCTGCCTCGCTGTGCCCTCCAGTGGATTGAACCTCGCCTCTAAATCCTTGCTGTAATCTGCTCGGGTCAGGCCAGGAAAAACCATCTCAGCCCTGCTGCTTTGTGCAATTGTTTAAATTTTTTAATGTTTGTGTTGTTTTTTTTTTTAATTTTTTTTTTCTTTTAGTTTTTGCACATTTTAAAAGTTTTTTGCAGGTATCTGGTGTTTAGTGCTAGGGCTTTTTGAGTCCCCACCACGGTACTGGTTCCAGAGGCAGCAGCCGGCTGGGATGAAGCTCTGCCTCTCCTCCCCAGTCAGCCATGGAAATACCCTCGGTCCTGGCCAGACGCTGCAGCCGCCTTCGCTTGGGTTTTATCGCTGGTGAAAGGTTGAGGTGGAGACAGCGTGGCCAAAACCTGTCCCGGTGCAATGCCGCGTCCAGAGGCATCGCCTTCCGTGTCCTGGAAACCAGAAAACCCCCTGAAAGTGCCGGTGCCACGCACGGACTGGGCACTCAGCATCCCACACAGACACTCCGCATTCCACGGGACACCCCCGTGCCCTTCCTGCTGCTCCAGCCCGGGGATGGTCACGGCACGGGATCCCATCCTTCCTCATCCCTGATGATGATGGGTTTGTCAGAGATGAGCAGGGCAATGGGGATCAGCGGCTGGTGCATCCCCTGCCTCCCCTCCTCCTCTTCCTCCTCCTCCTCTCCGGGTGGGTGTCCGGTGCTGCTGCCGGAGGCTGGAGATCCCCCCGGGCTCAGCGTGTCCTGCCGGCGGTAGGCGAAGGGCAGCTCCTCCCCGCAGCCCTGCGGGGACGCCACCGCTGCCGCCGGCGTTTCCAGCGCTGGGCCGGCCTGCGACACCTCGGGGAGCAGCACCGCACTCTCGGTGGCCGTGTCAGGCTTCTCCTCACTGGGATTCGGCTCCGTCAGCAGCAGCTCGGCTGGGCTGAACCTTTCCGAGGGCTCCAGGAGGCCTGTCCGGGGCTGGCCCTAAGGGTTGGGTGGGTTTGGGGTGGAACATCCCGAGCCAG